CATCATCATCATCATCATCATCATCATCGTCATCATCATCATCATAATCATAATAATAATAAAAACATCATAAGAAGGACATATTGTAGAGCTAATGAAAAAAGAGGGACGGTTTTGCTTTCTTTTTTTTTCTTTCAAATTTTAATGCAACAGTTTTTGGCCGGTCTTGGGACTTCACAGTTGAAGTGAGGTACAGAATGTCAAAGGTATTTTTAAAGGTTAATGAAAATCTTTTGTATGCTAATGAAGAAAGAGTTCATTTTATGCAAATTAGCCAAAAGGTCAGACTCCATCTGTGGTATTTATATTATATTTTGAAAATATGACACGGTGCGTGATTATCTGTTCTGTCTTTCTGTCATGCTTAAATTTAGAAACACGAYGCCCAGTTCACAGGAATCCAGCTGGTTGGCATGTTACGTGGCATCGCCTCGGGCATGAAGTACCTGTCAGACATGGGYTACGTTCACCGAGACCTGGCAGCTCGGAACATTCTGGTCAACAGCAATCTGGTATGCAAAGTCTCAGACTTTGGCTTGTCCCGGGTTTTGGAGGATGACCCAGAGGCTGCTTACACCACAAGGGTAAGCTGTAACAGAAAAAAAAAACAAATAAAATACAATGATGACAACATGAATAAATGTGTTGGGAAAAGTTCTGGGGAACATTAATCATTTTTATATTAGGAACACAGTAATATTAAATATTATGCCAACTGTGTATAATGCCAAAGAATAAGGCGGTGAACACATAGCTAAATTGCACTGAGTGGTGAAAAGAGTTGGAAAAGCCTGTCATTTCTAAAGAGACATGCACTGATAAGATTTTTAAGAGACATTTCTGCTTCTTTTTTTAAAATCTGGCATCTTCTAAACATACTTTAATAAGATTCTTTAATTTTGCTTTTGTGCCAGGGATGAACATTGAGAATTAACTAAATTTACCGTCATGTGTTAAAGATTTTCTTAAACACCTTACAAAATAGTTGAGGACTTTTCTAGCAACTTCATGTTAAACAGGAGTGTTCTAAAAAAACACATTTATTGTAAAATCCTATACTTATTCTGCCACTGTGATAATAAAATGACCTGATCATGTGTGACTGTACGCTAAGGTAGGTTTAAATGAAAAATAGGAGCGGTATTGTCACTTATTTTACTTGTGCAACAAATTTTCATGTCACAAAATGAAACATAACATGTTTCATTCTGGATATGCATTTGTCTTTTTCTTTGCTTTGTGTCTGAGTGTGTGGTCATTTTCATCACAAGGTCCTGTGGTTTGAAACATGCATGCAAAGCTATTAAAGGAGGGTGTAATTTGCTGGCTGAGAACTGTTTTCCAAATGAACAGACTGTGTGGGACTTCTGTTTCTACCAGAAATACATCAAATGACATAATATATATA